AAGAAATCCTCACAGCAATGCCTGGCAGTGAGTATCTGTGATGTACTTAAATATGCACAGCTCTTCAATAGCAAAGTCCTCGCTTCCGTACTTCTCCATTATAAATGCAGAAAATACCTATTCTCATTCAAGTTAGCGTGATATTTTAAAGTACTGAAAAAAGTCAGATGGCTGCGGATATTTCACATAGATACCAAATAAGGTTAAAGAAAACATTCATTGAAGTCATAAAATGTCTGTATTTCAGAAGCAAATTTAGCAAAATATTCCAATAGTGGGATTTAATCTTAAAATATTTTACCTTGGCTAATCTTATCTGCAACCTTCTAAAAGGGAAAGTTTTCAAATATTGGACGATGGAGAGAAAATAGTATGTCAGACCTAATTAAGTGAAAGCTCTGAAGCATACTTGAGCTGCCCCTGCATAATTGTTATTTTAAAGGACTTGTTCATGGTGAGAAATGCTTTGGAATTTGGATCTTTAATCTCTCTTAACAGAACAAGCCATTGAAACCATTCTGTTTTTGCAGCATGTTTTGCATGGAGTTTTTTTTTCTTAATATAAACTTTTTAAAAGAGTGAATGCAGCAATAAAATGGAAGAACGGGCAATATATTTTAGTAGATTATGGTAACTACAAAAACCTAGGCTGATCTTGTTAAACCTGTGACAAGAATCCTGCCTATACAAACTAGATACTGAGTTTCTATTCAAAGTTTAGAAGGAGGAGTGTCATCTTGAGCAAAATCACAATGCAGGACTCTAAGGAACTCACTACTACTGAAATTACCACACAAAATGTTAAGCAATAAAGCAAAATTTTTATGGAAGAGAAACAATAATACCTGCAATGCTTTGACAGTCTGATACAAAACATAAGTCTGTCCTTTCTCCCAGACAGTCTACTTTCGATCTGCTGGATGTATTGTTAGTCTAATAAGGCCTTCCTATTTCAAGTTTACTTTGTTCCTTTGTTTCTGTCTACAAGAAGTCATAGATATACCGTACCTTCAGAGTAGTTTATTTCCTCCTTTTCCTACATGATCAATTTTTGAGTAAAACCGTTAATGTAAGCATGAATAACAGGACCAGTTGCTTAGACTTCTCCAAGAATCCCATAGTGGCAAAGCTTTCCTAAAATGTAAGAGAAAAGGTTAATTTCAGGCCTCTACTTCACTTGTTGTCACAGCTGTGTGCGTACTGTCCAAGTTTGGGGGGCCCTCTTTGGGATGGATGGTTCACAGTTGGTAGATCCTATGAGAGGGGACCAAATATCATGTAAATGTTCTGGAACAGAGCAAATAAATTGTCTGAGATTGCTTCTGCTGTTGATGAATGTCTGTGTTGTTAACAGATGTCTGTGTATTGCATCAATAAGTAATAAAGTGCTTGTTCCTAATAACTGCCCGGGAGGTAGTGGTTTTGTGGGTTTAGTGTGTGGTTCATCAAGGAAAATCCATATCCTTCTCAGGTGAGAAAGAAAATGCTAAAATCCTACTCTAATTTTTAGCTTCAGGACAATGAATTATTTAAAAAGACGACAATCTCTTTACTTTTCAAGTGGGACCACTTACCCTTAGTTTCCTCACAAGCATTTAGAACAATCCTTATTTTTTTTCCCTAGGCCTACCAATAGTCTGTCAGGCTCGTGTATGTGTCAAAATATTGCCCGCTCACCATTGCGGGAAAACAGTCACATTCAGCGATCTAGCAATGGTGAGGCAGTATTGATGGTAGACTGCCTGGTTTTTCCATAGAGGCAGTTTCAGATGACAGGAAAAATGTTGTTAAAAACAAACAAAACTCTCCAAAAACTCTCTTACAGAGAGCAAGTTCACAGCTTCATCTCTGTTTCAAGGATGTGTCATTGGTTCCTCCTGCTATAGAAGTCTTTCCTTCTGAGGTCTAGAAAACTGTCAGTTTTGAATTATTGGAGGTGTGTTCTACCAAACAATCCATCATTTGGGTATTCCCTACCTAACTGATACCAGTAGTTGGTTTTATCGTTTTCAGTCATTATTGAGAGGGTCTGTTTTCCCAGGAGAGATGTTGCTTTGTCATGAGATTTTATCCTTATTTTACTAGGGTTGATGCACACTCATATAGTCAGAAAACACTGTTTTAATTGCAGTTACAAATTTGTATGATGATACCTGATTTTCATTGGACTGGGTCCCTGTTCAAAGTGTCGTCTTAGATATCATTCTCATTTGGTGAAACTGGATGAGATACCCCTAATTATCTTTAGAGACCTTTGGGATATTTGAGTAGTGTTTCTTAATTCTTTGTCAGATAACTTCTAGAGATCAGTACAAAGGAAATGCCATTTCTGCTCATCATCTGTTCAGCTCTGTTAGGTTTATTATCAAACTATAAATTCGTGACAGTTCTTTGGATTTCCACAATTCATCTCTCTCAAGGAAAAGATAACGTCGTTGTCCTATATTTACTTTTTTCTCAAATTCCTGTACTGCTTGTACCTGGAGTTAATGTGGTTTGTTCAGCGTGGCGTTTATATCTAGGGCTATTTTGGGAAGAACAGTATTGCAGTCCTTACTTTAGTAGGGTCTTTCTGAATGCTGAAATCCCACAAGTTTGAATGTGTACAGAGGACACTTCAAAGAAGTAAAAATTTGTTTCTTGCAAACATTATCTCTAAGCAATTTCATTGCCTTTCCCATGTGTAGTCTATGTAGGAATATTGAATTTAGTGTCCAAAATTAAGTGTCTGCTACATAAGTCAGTTGCACAATCTTATTTGGATGCTTTGGTTCCTAGCAGAGGTCCTTCCCAGAGCTTTAAGGTCACACTTTCCAAATTTAAGTGTGTAGGGATATCTGTACTGTTGTTTTTTTTTTTTTTTTTTTTAAGCAAATCAGTAAATTAAGCAAGAGACAATGTTTTAATTAAAAACTCTCTCTTGGGTTTTTTTAAAGCACGTGGCTGTGAATAGCTCAAAATACACAGAAAAGTAATGATACAGTACCTTAAATGTAGGTGGCCTCCTAGGTGGACTTAGTTAATATAATAGCATTAAAATTTTACTACTTCATGGTTCATGTGTGGTGGTACAAATCTATTTTGGAAGAGCACTGTCTTTCATATTTAGAACTAGGTTGCTACCTTGTTTCCAGAATGTGCTTAAGGTTAATGTTAGCTTTCTTTTATATCCTTTTAGGAGTATGATGATGGTTATGGAACTGCTTATGATGAACAGAGTTATGATTCCTACGATAATAGCTATAGCACTCAAGCACAAAGGTAAGTCTCAAGCTCTGCTGTAACTGCGGCTGAGATGTTCTGCAGCTGAAAAGTTTATTTCACTTAGGCTAATGATTTTTTTTTTTCAGTTTCATCTTAAATAGCAAAAATGTTATGACAACTTTGTTAGAAATAGCCAGTGTTATTTATGTATCCAGTATCCAAAAAATGGTTGAAAGTGTGATTGACTGGTTGAAAAGAAATAACGATAGAGATCTTGAAATGAAGAATTTTGGTGATGTCAGAATGTAAATCATAGTTTTTAGCAGTTCAAGAAGTTAATTCAGGAAAGATTTTTTTATTTTTTGGCGAGGATTATTGGTGGGGGGGTGGAGGGGAGTATTTTCCTACAAAGAGAAAAACTAATCTTTACCTGGAAAGAGTACTTACTATAAAGTCTTAAATCATGTGAGATACAGAGCTCATCGAATTTTCACTTTTAAAACATGATTTTATTCAAATATTTTGCCATAATATTTTACGTTACTATAAGAAAATAAATAAGGATATATCCTTTAATCTGTTCTGCTCCCATGTGAAATGCTCTTTATGATGAATTTGAATCTCTTGCCGCCTGTGTCTCCCTTCCGCCACTGTACATTACCAGCAATATTTTTAAGCAATTCCAATTTTCTTACAATTTAACTTTCTCTAAAATAAGTCTCTGTGATTCTGAAATTCCATGAATTGCAAGGAAAATTCTTGTGTCGGTATCCAGTGATGGAAGAAGCAGATGCAGTGAATTATGAACTACTTTCTTGACTTACGTCATAGTTAAAACTTAATGGCAAATATGAAATGGCACATTATTTAGCAGCTTGGCCAGTGGTCCCATTATGAGGTACTTGAAACGTGCATATCTTTAAAAAAGAATTTTTTTTTTTTAATATTTTTTGCTTGACTGTAATTTATTCCCTTTTTTTCTCCTAAAACAAACCACCTTAGTTTGAGCAGTTGCAGATTTTGTAATGTCTTTGAGAACTTCTTGAAAATGTTATTGTAATAAACTTTAAATGATAGAGAGGAGCACTGAGCAGGTAGTAGATGTTCTTGTTCTGCTTTACTGCTTTGGCTGTTCAGAGTGCTTAGATATCAGTGGTCGTTGTGGTGTTAATGAATGAATACCATCCAGACTATTCTACCTTCCCCTAAACATGTTTAAGACAACTCTTCTCAGGGTAGCAAAATGTGAAATCTTCTCATCTGAAAAAACACAGAACTGCTCACAGCCCAGTTGAGGACAAAGCCCTTTATACCAAAAATCAAGGGATGCTTTGAGTGCTGACACACCCAACTGAAATTTTGTTCCAGAAATGAATAGTTTCCTGTGCCGACTGATTTGTTCAATATGAAAGAGCTCAGGGTAAAGTTGAAGTGTCATCATTGTTGTAAACCGCTTTGAAATTTCTGGTCATAAGGAAAATAATACCCTCCTTTCTGCTGCTTTACTCCTACGGAGCCTTGTAACCTTCTGAAATTTAATAAACAATAATATGAGCTGAGACACCAGCAGTGTAGGACCTCCAAAATATGAGTCTGTGTAGGATTTTACATTTAGAGAGTAGGTACTGATAATGGATTTTCTTCTTCCAAAAAGAAGATTACCAAAATAGTCCTCAACTTTTATGTCGGTAATTCTGTTCTGTGTTACTGCTTCTCGTGTTGGTAAAAGGGTTTACTGCATGCAAACATTTGAATTTCATTACCAAGCTGTTTGACTGTGCCAAAACTAAAAACGTTACTTAAATTTGATTTTTTTTTTCCTGCAAAGAAGGATTTCACTAGGATTTTTTTCTTCCTTTGAACTAAAATTAGAAAAAAGCAAATCTCCTAAGGAATGAAGTTCTTCATTTAAAGTATTATTGTACATAATGTGTACATTAATGTAATTTAATGTAATGTGTACATGTGTGAAATACATTCTTAGCCCAATCTGGAAAGAGAGACATCTCATAAAACAATTGATTTACCTGTAGTTTCACAATATATATATTCAGATTTCTTTTAAGTTGTTATTTCCTGAATGATTGCTTCATTTTTTTTCCTCAGCATTTGTTAAGTACTGCATGGTAAAAGAAAAGAAACAGAAATGATTCACTCATACATTTCTCACATGGTGCGGGCACTCATTTCCTGGCATTTTTTTCTGGCTTGGCAAAAAGAATTTTAGGATTGCATTGGCAGGGAAAAAGCAATGGCTATAAACAGCCATCTGAGCTACCTAGAACAGCATTCCTATCTTTAATCTGAATATCAAATAGTAGCCCATATTGCAAAACGTCATTTGGAACCACTGAGAAATACTTAACACATTTAGGTGCATTACAAGGTCTTTACTGTGAAGCAAATTCTGGAGAAGAGAATTGTTTTCCTGCTTGAGCTGTATATCACCTTGATGTTTTGCCCTCATTATGAAGCATGAAAGAAAAACACATTTGAGCAAAGAGGACATTTACATGTTTAAAACGTGCCCTTTAGCGATTAGCATGTTAAAAAAAAAAAAAAATTCTTTCCTTCTGTGGAAAAAAAAGGAATAGAATTTCTAGTATATCTTCCAATATTTTTTCCAATAGACTATGATATTAATCATTTTATATGGTGTATTAATGAGGACACTTCAGAAGAAGATAGCAAGTGAAAGTATAGGATTGTTCATTAGATTATTTGCACTAGCTCTTAAGTACATAATCCCTGTTCCTGAGCCTCAGCAAATTTCTTTTGTATTCACAAGCCTATTTTTTTGTGTGTGATAGTGGAGATGGTTGAAATACTCATTTTGTTTTTAAGTGTTGCGTATTTTGGTGATTCCTCCGTTAAGGATGGAAACCTGGAATAGAATGGGAAAATACGATTTTTCTGTAGGTGTGCGACTGGCTGCGTGTTGTTCAGCGACAGCACATCTTTGACGTGAGGTCTGTGCACGGGAGCAGGCTCTCCAGGTTTGACCACCCAGTACAACACAGCCGTACTCGCCTGTTCGGTTTTTGATTTTCCACAGATGTCTGTCTAGCGTATTTCTCCAAAACAGGCAAATCTGAGAGGGCCTGGAATGGGTGATATGCTCAGATATGAGGATTAGCATATTGTGTATTTCTGTGTGCATTAAGGTAGTTGGGGCTGTGCATGCCTGTATGAACAGTCCTTCTTTTTTATAACCTAACTGCTTGCTATTTCCAGATCATATCCATTTAAACTTTGATGGCATTGTATTTGTCATTTTGTGCCACTTCTGTATCCTGTTTTGTACTTGACAATTGACGCTTTAGTTAAAACCTGTCACTAGACTAATAGGGAGAGAAATGGAGTGTTCTCCCAGTTCTCATCCTCCTTAATGCCCTGTAATCCTATAGAAATTGTTGTTCTTTAAAACATTTTCTAATCCACAATTGGTTTTTATACAACAAAGCCCCAAATAGCAGTGCTTGGGGATGTCTTTTAACAGAAGTATTTTTCATGTTAAATTGACTTTAAAAAGATATCCTTAGGAGCTCTACCAAACTTGAATGAAGTTGGAAGACTTTTTGGAAGATAGGTGATTAAACTTTATAGTTTTTTCAGAGGATTAACGTTAGGTGAAGGTTATAGCAATGCAAACTAACGTGGTTAATCAACTGGGCTGTTTGGTATTGTTATAAAAAACAAAACAATCTAAAACGAATTTAACAAATGAAATATTTCTCAACTCCTGAAAATCAGAGGCTAGCAGACGGTTTTAGGTTGGTAGCCAGACAGTTTCACCTCAGCAGAGTGTTCTGAAAACTCCCAAAAGCTGTGGTCGCTGAATGATACTGAATGCCAAGCTAAGGAAAGCAGGCAAGACTAAAATGAATGTTACGCTACACCGCTAGAGTAGCTTTTCTGAGGGCAGGTTTTGCGTTATGCAGAGGTTACTTCTTTCTTTCACGACGCCTGTCCTACGTGCATACGCAGTAATTTAACGTGTGCGGTTGGACGCTGGACACGCGGTTGGGATCTTAGGGTAGAACGTGGATTGTGCGTTTGCAATACCAGACTCCTAAACCAGACTCCTCTCCTGACTCTTGGTGCCGAGATGCATTGCGTGCCTGCAGTTTTGTGAGCTTCACCCGCATGCGTGGTTACTTACAAAACACCTCACTGATGCTTAAAGGACTTCTCAAATCCGTCTTGGACTGTAATCCTTTACTTGGATTTATTGCAGAAAGTAGTGGGTGTTTTAATGGTCCGATGCTAATGCTAGAGCAATTTCATTAAGAAAGTTCAGAGAAGAATATTATGGAGGAAATGAGAGAATTTGATTGGGTCTTAATTTAAATTAGTAGATTGGTTTAAACATTTTTGGTGTGAAGAAAAATTCTATTAATTTTAAATCTCTGAAATGCTATGTTACAAATTAAGCAAACGTGCTTTTGTCCCTTAGTAGCTCCATGCATGATCTACACAAGTGTTTGCAAAGACAATAACAGGGCAAAGGGAAACGGGTGCTAGTAAATCAATTGGCACTGTCAGTTCACTATTTAATGTTCTCTAGAACACATAAGATTTATCACTGAGGAATTGTAGAATAATGGTAGTGTATGGAAACAAAGTCCACTGGGGAGATGTAGTACATCATTCGGATTTAGCGCTGCCATCTGCTTAATAGCATTGAGATGACTACAGAGGTACTTATGATCAACCATTCATAGCAGTGACAGATGCTGCAGTGAGTTAACATGCCAGAGAACGAGTTTTGTTACTAAAATTCAGATTATGTGACAAGGTTGCTGAGAGAGGGGGATGTTTATTACCTCTCCAGCATCACTAAAGGTTTGCTGTTTGCTTTTAAGTGTACTATCAAGAGATAGTGGCTAATACTGTTACCCCAAAAATGTAGAGAATCATACAGAAACCATATCTGTCTGCCTTATGCCACCCAGAAGTTTCAAAAAAACTTAGCTTTTTGGCTAGCATTTGCAACTGGATGCAGTAACTTTTTTTTTTTCTGAAGAAAGATGACTTTTGTCTAGTTTTGTTGTTTT